AAGTCAAAAACGGAAGAGCTTGTGAGCCCTGACCTGAGTCTCCTCTCCTCCACTGGGGCCAGGATAGCAACCGGGTGAACCGGGGTGGGGTGGAGTGTCCCTTTGGAGTCCATTTCAGATTACCACTACTGTGCATGCCACTCAGGGATGCAGCTTCCATAACTGGGTTTGATAACCGCCCACCCACCCCACATGCTTCTCTCAGGCCCTTCCCTCCAGCCTCCAGCAGCCCCCTCCACTGCCGATCCATCTGGTCTGAGCAGGTCTGTGCCTGCAGACTCTGCCTGGAACCATCCTGGCATCTAAATGCCCCTCCCCCAGGAGGCAGAGCTCCACTCTGTCCTCAAGAAAGGCTGAAATCCATGTGCATGGGGGGTAGGGGCAGTAACGTGAGGGCTTTGACTGTTCCCTTCACCCACCCAACCCTTTGCTGCTCCAGATTGCCAGAGGTCCAGGGCAGGCTTAAGGTTCAGTCCAGCCTCTAACAGGGAGGGAGAGATGAAGGCTATTATAGAGATCCTAAAAGGGGGGTCTCACTTGCCCTGTAAGGGCAGGGGTCCTCCCACGAATGTGTGGAAGGAGGTACTGTCATCCCTGAGAGAAAAAGCACGGCCAAGGAAGCTTGAAAATTCTCGTCTGTCCATACAGCAAGATGTCCTCCACAGAACTGCAGAGGGAGAGGGGCCCTCAGCAGGACAGGCCAAAGGAAGAGGTCCAGCCTGCTGTTACACTTGAGCCTTTGGGGACAGGAACTTCAGACAGGGAAATAGGTGCTTGTCAGAAGGGAAAATTTAAGTTGGGGTGGGGCATATCTATCCACCCACCACAGTCAAAGGGATCCTGGGCTCAGAGGGCAGGTGATCACTACTTCCACCCAATGTCTTTGCTTCAGGGTTGACCTGAAGGAAACACATACAGGTAGGTAAAGGAGTAGGTGGGTACCAAGAGCCTGGGGCACCTCTCCTTGCCTTTCTGCAAGAGATACTCAGGAGGGGATTTACTCAGGGATGGACAAAAGACCACTGCTTCTGAAAACCTGCTGGTTGGTCACCTTGAAGAATGTGATCACAGCCCCATTTCCTGGATGAAGAAAGTGAGGCCCAGTATGTCAGGCCAGGATGTCCAGGCCTGAACTGTTACCTTCTACGTTCCTATACTGAAGGCCTCTCCCTCTGGAATTAGAACATGGCCTTATATGGAGATCAGGCCTAGAAAGAGGTGATTAAGTTAAAATGAGGTCATTAGGGTGGGCCCTAATCCAACCTAACTAGAATCCTCCTAAGGTCAGGATACAGAGGCACACAGAGGAAAGGCCATGTAAGGACATGGTAAGAAGGATCCATCAACCAGCCAAAGCCTCAGGAGGGCCCCCCCCATCCCAGTTATGGCAGCAGCCACAGGGTTAGAAGTGGCTTTGGCCAAGGCTTGTGATCCTTCACTCCTCTACTCCCGGCTCCTCCCCATAGAGGGG